ATATTTTCCTGAGTATCAATCAGTTTTTTAAAACTGTTCCAAACCAAATAACCCTTTGTCAAGAGAAAAGACAATAATTTACACTATTAAGAATGCTTAGAAGAAGCTGAACTGAGGGTTTAAAAATCTGTAAAACAGCAGTGTGTGTGCGCTTCAAGAGGGGAAGTCTCTCTAACACCATCCACTGTTGTTCTGGAAGAAGCTGGAAGAAACAGATCGTCTCCCTTCAAGGATTGTGCTGAGAACTTTACCTGTCAGCATTAAAACCTGAGTACCTTGGACTGGTGAGATCCCAGAGATCTCTCTCTTTTGCAGTTTCAAACCCACATAAATTTCTGAACCTTAACTGTATTAGTTAAGCTTGACCTAAGTTTCCCCAAATACTCAGTGAAACCAGAGTAATACTGTAACTGTTTGTGTTTGTTTTTTCTTTACTTATCTATAATTACTAGTACCATTATATATTTTTCATATACTTAGCAATAAATAACTTTTATAGTCAAACTGGTAGTAACTGGGTATATTTTTCCTCCTCTACTTCTCCTTCCCCACTTGCTCTGCAGCCACGCTTCTTTTACCTAAGCTAAAGATCCCTGTGAAGCCCAAAAATACTGTGGGGTCTGCTCATCAAGAGGCTAAAAGATTGGGACGTGCTGAGTTTGAAACACATAAGGGGATCAGCTTGTACAGGCTGATTAACCCAGTTTGACTCAGATGTGCCCTAATGAACTAAATGCTGGCCCATGATGGTGTCAGCTGGACACCCAGCTGGATTCAGAGCTTTCTGTTTACCTGTGTGCTTGTGTCTGACTGCAGTTTATTGTTGCTCTGATGAACTGATTCTTGGCATATAAGGGTGTCAGCCTGCCCATGCTGATCAACCTGGCCGGGTCAGGCGTGTCACATTAATCTGTGTGTGTTTGTATGTACGACTGATTTGGTGACTGGAGGAACACAGCCCCATTAAAACCGAGTCCTGCAAGATAGCTTCATTAGGGGTAAGAACTTGCAGAAGGGAGATCTACAGCTCCGTATAGAAACACAAGTAACACAAGCAGCACATTGACAGAATTACCAAGACCCTAGAAACGTATCCCTAATGAATGAGCACACTCCAAAGTGATGGGCAAATCTGGTAACAGCTTCAGTGTAGGAGCAGTAAGCATCCTGATCGGCTGCTGGGAGACTACCTCATTATCCATTTAGTACCAGCTGGGGCCCTGGGTCTGCAGGCCAGTCAACGGTTCTCCTGTGGAAAGCCTCCTGGTTTGTGACCCAGGTTTTTAGCTTAGTTCTGGATTTAGGCTTTGGGGGCATTTTTACACATGCTTTGGCATGCAGCACCAGGCATTTTAATTAGTAAGCTGCACTAATTCAAAACACCTGTGTGTCATGTGTATGAGTGTTCCTAGGCTGGAATAATGGTGGCGGGGTGCTTTGAACTAAAGCTTATTGAATGTGCTTTATTTCAAAGCGCTGTGCTGCCATATTTTCAGTGTGGGGATGCATGGGGATGCTGATACACATGATGCGGAAGGCTGCTGGAGCACGTCCATTTCTGTGCTCCAGCAGACTCTATTTGAGTCTGCTCCAACCCGCTGGATTTCCAGTGTGTCAGAGCAGGCTCCCTGCACATCTATAGGAGCCCTGGATTTCCCTGTGGTTCTGTTTCCTGGCTCCTGACCCTGGCTTGGTTCTGTTTTTGGACTTTGCCCTGTGGATTTTCCCCTGAATTGGTATCCCACATCTGACCCCCACACCCTGACCCTGGATGGAGCTGTGGACTCTGCTTCTGGATCTCCCTCTGGCTCTGGTGTATGGCTCCTGCCCTTTGACCCAGCCTCAGGCTGTTTTCCCTCAGTGGCCTAATCATTAAGTCAGACCATATATGCCCCAGTCTCTTACACAGTACTTAGTTTGTGTTTAGTTTCACCCATGTATGTACTAGAATCAACTCTCATGGAAAAAATACAGAAGACAGAGACATACAAACTTCTGTAGGAGCATATTTTTCGCAGAACAGCCACTCCCTTTCTGATCTCACTATCCTTGTGCTTAAGGGAAGTGCCAAACACCTTGAAAAAACAAGCTTGAGAACAAAAATTCATAGGTTGGCTGGGCACTAAGAACCAAAGATTGCATACTGATTCCTGAAATTCTTCCTACACACTACAGCTGATAAGGACTTCTCCCTTTTGATAGTCTTCATCTCCCTTGAGCTTTCCTTTTGCTAATTGTTTGTCTGCTACCCCTGGGAATTTCTCTCCAATTTCACCACTTTACCCATTGTTCTTAGCAATTGCTGTGCTTCCTTCCTTCCTTAAACCTGATGAAGAATGCATTGCATTTAAAAGCTTCCAAATGCAATTGGTCCAATAAAAGGTATCACCTAAAAATCCTTGCCCTCACAAACATAAATGACTTAATTTTTGCAATACTCCTATGACATAAGGATGTGATATTATCCCCATTTTACAAGCAGAGAAATAAAACAGAGATTAAGGTCAACTATATATTCTAACATGTAATTTTGGAAGCCTAGGGCCTGATTTTTCAGTTCTTAGCACTTTGTTACATTTTATGTGTTCAGAGCATAAGTCCCATTAAACTTCAGTTGCCACTGTAAGCGTCCAGCACCTCTGCAAGTCTGGAATCAGGGTCTTAAGCTGAGTACACAGACAGTGAGACAGACACAAAAGGCCTTGTCACACGGGACACTTAGTATATGTTAAATTTGTGCAGTATTAAAGTTAGAACATATTCTGAGCAGTCACACAGTAACATTTACTATAACCTCTAACACGCACAGCTTGCTGATTGTTGGTCCCAACCCTCGCACCACACTTTGCTGAGGCGCTGGAGTGGAGACCCTCCAGATCTGTGGGGACACAGATTTCAGCTTTATCCTGGAGGAACTTGACAAGTGAAAAATCCAAGATCCTTGCTACTGATGTGTGGCTTTTCTCATTCCACCTGATGGCTTGATATAGCAGAGGAACCCCTGGCTGATCTCATGCCTGCATGAGGACTGCAAATTTCTCATATCTCCGTGAAGCAGTCCAACGGTAGCTGAACAGGTGTTACTTAATACGATCTGGAAATACTTCTTGTGCAGAAAGTTGTAGTTTTGCTATGGTATGAGCACACTTAGCAATGCTTTACTGCTTGAATGCACAATTGCTCATGTTTTAAGGGCATTTATCATATGCTAAATGTAATACAGGAAACCCTTGCTATTCGTGGGTTCAGCATTTGCAGTTTCAAATATCTGTGAATGCTGAACCCACATCTTAAATACACTTACAGGAGCTTCTTGGGAGCTGTGTGCTTGCTGCCACCAGGCTCCCACTGTTGCTGTGCCCCTCCCCCCACCCCCCGCCACCAGGGGCACAGCTGCCATGACATTCATGAATGCAGTGCCATATTCGCGGATCTCCAGAATGCATCCCCTGCAAATGGTGAGGGTCACCTGTATGTGACATAGCCCTTAAGTGATAATCTGTGAAAATTTGTTTCCTTATATGCCTAATGCGCTATATGAGAGGCAGGGACAGAATCTATATCTCCAGGGCTACCCAATGTGACCATTCTTTTTCTTCCTGCAAAGCCCTGCCTCATTCATTACATACCTTCCTACTTCTTTAAGAAATAAAGTAAGGACCCTTCAGATAATAGCCTTCCAAGCTGCCTCCCTAAAGTAATGTCTGTTCCGTGTACTGAATGCAGCAATGTCTTGTGGAAAATATATGGGATTATGCAATTATAGACTGTATCATAATCTATACACATAAAGGAGCTGAGTTAAGTTTGCATGGGCATGGGCAACCTTAATTCTGTCATTTTCTACTGCATGCTTGGCTTTGCAATGCCTGGCGTTTCTTGTGGTTGTTTCCTAGGGATTTTAAATAAGCAAGCTGAAAAAATGAATTCCATCCTGGGAAAACTTGGGAAACCGCAACAACCAGCCAGGCTTCTCCTATGCTCAGATTACTGCCTCATGCTGCCCAGTACTGTCTCTGCATCTCCTTTGCCTGTGTTTAGCAGTCTTATACTTAGATTGTGAGCTCTTTGGATGTGGGCTGTCATTTTATTCTGTTTGTGCAATACCCAGTACAATGGGGTCCTGGTCTATGACTTAAGTGCTTATGTCAGTACAAAGAATCACAACCCACTATTTTTTTTTTTTTTTATCAGAAAGGTGAACCCCTTAGATCTACGAAGTAGACCTCTGTCAGAAAAACTGAGGATAGTAGTAGGTTGTCATCCTCTACAACATGTGTCTCAAACTCATCTGGCTTTATGGGTCAGATAAGCGGCGCAAGGCTTGTCCACACCCTGTTTTTCCCCCTCCACATGCATGCTTGATCCAGAATATGCGGCACCTGCCTGGATCAGTCCAGTTGATTAATCCGCTGCTAAACTCACATCTACCAGGTACGATAAAAATGATTAAATCTATTTCTGTTCTCTTAGAGCAAAACCTTAGGAATTGGGTCACGACCCAAGTAGTAAGTTAAAAATCTCTACAGGGGTTTGTGCAGAAAAAACCCCTCCCTCAATAACTTTGATATGGCCATAGTAGCCTAGAATAACTTGAAGCTTTAGTAGCCCATGTACTGCCCGTGCATCTCCTCTGTGGGAGGAAACAGTTTGTGAATTCATAAATAACACCTGCAGGGAGCTGAACCCAACACTGGGCAGAGAACATAGAGTGTCCTCCAGATTCTACCAGCCGTGTGCATACGTTTTGTATTGGTCCTGATGCAGCTACGGCTTCTCCATTCACATTCAAGCCAACATCTAATAATATAATTAAATTAAAAATCATGTTTCTTGACATGTTACTATGCAGAGTGGGAGATGTCATTTAAGTTATGTTCAGAGAGCAGAAACTTACAAGGATCAAGTCTTTGCCCAGCTCATCAATATCTGGTACAAATTTTTCAATGGGCTGTGGGGGTCTGGGATTGAAAGCATGTCTTGGAAGAGCAACATCACTTGGCCAATCCTCTTCTTCTGGGAGTCCAATTACACTGTGTGAAGAATAAGCACACACGTTAGTTTCAAGGGAAAGTAAATCACGTGACTCTGTTTCATTGTTCAAGACCCAAGATTATATTTTCTTTGTTCTCTTTTGAAGCAAGTAGTCCTGGTTCCAGGTCTATCCAATCTCACAGAACAATCTGGTATCTATCATTTAAAACAATTTTTAAAATCAGCATGGACCATCTATAATGAACATTAAGGAGCAAATTCTGGAACCATTGCTCACACTGAGTTGGAGCTCATTCTGGGCAAGCTTAAGGATTTCAGTGGCACTGTGTAGTGTTAACTATGAAGAAGAATGGCAGAATTGGGCCCTAAATATTCAAGGTAAAACTTTTTATAAAACTAGCAAAGTGGCAGCATTCTGACTGTAGTCTCAGTTTCCTGAGTCTACAGGTTGACAAGGGACTGGGAGTTCTCTGGAAGAAATGTGCTCAGATCTCTATGATATGATGTTACCACACGACACCTGGGAGTGGTTAAAAGGAGATTTTTGGCAGGTTTTAGAGCCTATTCCCATGCAAGCTCTTTTTGCTGTAACAACTGTGACAAAGACAAAAGACTCTGCAGGAAAAGAGAGGCAAGAATTGGGGTCAAGAAAGGAGGTTAAGAGAGAGATGCATGTCCATGAAGGCACGTGCCTGTGCACTGGTGAACTAAGAATTATCTGGAAAAAAAATAATCTTTTTCTGTAAAGTCTTTTTATAACACTTACTGGACATGTAAGCATTTCCTAAAAATAAGTAATTCAGTTGCTTTATATTAAAATTTTCAAAAGCAACATAGAAGCCTAACTCCCATTTCAAAAGCATAGGAGTTACGTGTTTTTACCAATACACTCTCAGCTTTATTTTGTGTTCACCTCATCCATTTTTATTGCATTTCAGAACACTTTCGTTACATTTTCTACTCAGAGGGTGCATCTACATGTGCATTAATGTGCTCTTAGGGCTGCTCCAATTAAAGAACTGCCCCCTCCCAACCCTGATGTACATGTAAAAGTGTCCTGAGGTACTGAATAAATGCACATTAGGCTGCCAAAATGTGCAGTACTGAAAGCACACATTTTTAAGTGATGATTAACACACAGTATTTTACTGTGCATTAGCATAATTGCATGTTTCTGTCTGTGATGTTTTAATGTGCAGTAAAATAAACTATTGCACATTAAAGCACACTTGTAGAAAGTAATATAGAGTTTATTGTCTATTAAATGATATCACTAATTTCTAAAAACTTGACAAAATACTTTTTGAAGTTTCTGTTAAATGTAAAAAATTTCTTTTTTGAATCATGTCTCTACACAGGTTTATGTCCTTGGTTAATATTTATGATAGAGATAACAAGTAGTGAAAAGGGGGTTTCTCATGGAAATGCTGGTAGAGACCCATTAGCCACACCTGACCTGCTAATTTTTAGGCAAAAATCATTTTTTACAGCTGAATTTTACAGCACATAAGACTTAGATTCAACTGGGAAACCATGACAGTTGCACAACTGTAGGATGAAAACAAAAAATAGTTTCAGTAAGTATTAAGGGTTTGCACTAGAAATGCCACTAGGGTTCAGTATTGCTTTTCTTTTCTCTAATAGTGCTTTGTACTAGGCACAGAATGAAAATTCTCCCTTTCTGTAATGTAAATCCTGAGTTATTCCATTTAATTACACCATATTTAGACAAGGGTAAGAGTAGAATTTGGCTCCTAGCACGTAAGAAGCTTCTACAGACTAATACTACTAGAAAAGAACAGCATGACTACAAGCATACAGCCATTGACATCTTGGTTTTTTTTTCTTGTGCCTTATCTAAAGGCTGGCAATTCTTGGCAAAGAGGGGATTAGATTTGTTTGCAAAATTAAATTTCATCCTCATCTAATATTTATGGATTGTGAAACATGTACAGGGAATTTCTCACATATAAGATGCTATGAGTCTTACTCTGAGCACCTTGCAATTTAGTACTTCAACACTACAAATATTTATCCATATGTATAGTGTCATATACATGACTAGTTCTACTAAGTCTACTGAACCCATGTTAAGACTTAACACAATGAACACTGTGGACTCATCCTACAGTGTTCTTTGTGTTAAGTCTTAACATGGGTTCAGTAGACTTAGTAGAACTAAGGAGGGCTGACAGAAGGCTTAAATGGTAATGAAATACGTAATTTGCTCTCATTCAGCTGTGTCTGGTTAGCTCTGGGTTTTTGTGTGTATTATGGAGAATATGACTATTTTTAAAGACGTGATGTATGACTAGATTCCCCTATTGCTGGTCTGACTGCTAGCTGCACCACCATTTGGCCAACCAAGTTTTAGATCATTTCAGAGACGGTTGCTTCACCTCTCAACACACTGATAGGATAGATGTGGGAGTTATTAGTAAATATTGCTAGGCTGGGCATCAAAATCTCTCAGGCTCAACCTGCTTCTAAAAAATGTTGAGCACTTTTCACCAGCCTCAGTTATAGAGCTGAGTGTCTCAGAACACCACAGCATCTGGGCTCAAATATGTAAGGATACACTGCATTGAAATGATGGCATTTGGAAAGGACAGAAGCATTTTGGACTCTCCCCTAAGCATCTTGCCCAGTTTTTATGTGACACTCAGACTCGGGTAACTAAGGGTTGGACACATGGAGCAAACAGAACATGGCTTAGTTATCTGGGGAAACAAAGTGTTAGTCCAGAATGTCCTAAACCAGCTTTCTATCCAAATTAGTCTGGAAAATGATTCACAACCTTAGCAAGTAATAGCCCCCCTCATAAAGGCAAGTCCTGTGCCTAGATGTTGGAGGTGTCCAACTGAGAACAGAAAACAAAATACTGCTTCACATAAAAAGAAGAAGAAGAATCTGACATATTAGAGTCACACAAACGAGGCAAGGTAGATTTTCTCTTTAAGCAGAATGTGTAAGAGGGAATTTCTTCTCTTAACTAAAATTAGCACGGTGTTTTCTCTTTCTGATTAATGGTTGAATTCTTTTCCACATAGGTAATCTCACACACAAGAGATGGATGGACAGTACAACTGGAGGAGGCTGCTGCCAGCTGTTGTGTGTTTAATTCTATCCCAATTCATTTTGGTACTCTGCCCTTGAAATGTTACCAAAAAAACTGGGATCTTAAAACTGTCTCATCCATGCTTTTAACATGATTAGCATCTGTTGTGTGTAATGAAACAGTCTTCGTTAGATGAGGCACTATATAAAGAAATCATGGAGGGGAAATTTTGCCAGACCAAGAAAAAGCAAACCATAGAGGATGAATTTTTCTGGATTGTGCAGGAAGAGTTATTCAGTGCATGACAAATTAACCATGCCAGTGAGTCACACAGACTGGTATGGTAGGCAGGAAAGGGAAGTCAGCTGGGTGAAATCAAGACCTGCAATTTAGGAACCTTATATTAAATAATGAAAATCTTTAGAAATTGTTCTGTTATGATTTTAGAACTGGACAAGTAGTTAAACAGACACATTCATTACCAGACCTACTCAACTGGAGCTCTTTCCTTAGAAGCTTCTCTCTGAAATATATACAGGGCAGGAAATAGGGGAGACCAAAGTCTCACTCTGACCTCCCTGCCTACTCCTTCCTTTGGCCTGCATAGTTCTCTCTACCATCCAGATGCCTGGAAGCCTGTGCTCCATCCATGAGAAGGGGAGGACAGTGCTGCAGAGACAAATGAGCCTTCATTTTGTACAGGAAAAGTAATAGTCATGCATGGGTCTGATGGCCATAACCCAGTCCAGTGTTACTATAAGACATTACAAAAGGCCTCAAATTTCCATGGCACTTTGTAAGATCATCAGAAACCTTCATGGTTCTGAAGAGGAGAAGCACTGCAAAACAAAACAAGCAAAGTTTTAAAATGCTTTAACCTATTTTTAACCTCTCTCTACTGGATATATATTTTATTTTTAATCTGAAATCTTCTTTTCTGTACATGGATACCTTTATTTAGCATTTTCTATATTTCTCCTTAATAATGAACATTTCTGAGGGATTCTGCTTCTGCTTTATGAAATCCATAAATGAATAAAACATTGAGTAGCTAAATCTCTATTTTTATGTGGCAGTTAAGGTGACTTGAAGGTACTTTTCCTTCTAAGAAATTGTGTGAATGGTATATGGACAATGTGTTAAAAGATAAAAAAAATCCCCCAGAAGTCTGTTATAACTTCCTGACAATGACTGTTAGTTCTGCAAAACTATATTCCATGCTGCTTCCTCTTCCCACTCTGACACAGAATACAAGGAAATATCATGTTACAGTATAGCAGCAATAAGAAATATGTTCTAGGAATACTTTATTGTAGTCACTTTACTCCATAAAAAATGTGTCAAAGAAACCTCAAAGTGTTTTAAAGCTAGACAGCCATTGACATAATGCAGCAAGTTATTACTTACTCAAAGATTTTTCCTAGCTGATCAACATCTGAATTTCCACGAAAAAGTGGCCTGAAAAAATAAAGAAATATATTAGGGGTAAGATTTTCTTCAGGTGCTTCCAACATAAACTGACAACCTTGTATCCTTTTGTGGTTCTGACCTATCTATAACTGAACCACCTTTTAAGGTTTTGCTTGGATTGGTAACAAGATGTAAAGCTACTGGATCAGGCATACTTTTAGTTATGATGCTTTTGAGAATTAATTGTATTCTTTAACATGCTAAATAACTTTATTTTTATCCCATTTGAAAACTGTCATAAGAATGAAAACAAGCCATTGGTTGATGAATAAAAGCACATAACAGAGCATATATTCAAAGTGCTGTTTAAAGGAAAAGACAGAGTCATACAAATCATTTTAATAAGATAAAATAGAAGATAATTAAACTTGTACTTTTTTTTCTTGTTTATTGTACGAAAAACGTATCCTTAAGATTTGGAAGTCAAATTGAGGACAATGGGGTTTTACATGGTTCTGTAACAAAAGAGTGCAGAATTTACCTTGCAGTGGAAAACTTCTGCTGCATAAATATAGGATAAGGAAATAAATTAATGATCTGTACCTTCAATAGGTTGTTAGAAAAAGCAGTTACGTAAAGACACTCAAAACAGTAGTATACAGAGGGTATGTCTACATGTGCAATTAATGTAGCTGAAGAAACTCTGGCCCAGTTCTTACCAGAATTTATTGCTCCCGGGTGTCGTATCTGCATGTTCCCTGGACTGCAGCAAGTTGAGCCAGGGCAGAGCAGCCCTGGCTGGTAGGGGGCCCAGGGGGCTAGCTTCCCAGCCTGGGGCTGCTCTGACCCAGCTCAACATGCTGCAGAGGAGCTGGTTGGGGCCCAAGGGTACCTAAGTGAGGGGCTAGCCAGCAGGCAGCTCCCACAATGAAGCACCCTCGTATCCCAGTCAGTCCTGTCAGCATCTACGTGTGTGTTGCATCGGAGTAAATAACTCCACTGTAGGATAGTACTTGTGTCTGGCAGTACTATCCTACAGCAGAGCTAATTAGTTTACTTCATTCTAATAGCATCGCACATGTAGATGGTGACGTTTTACTGTGAAGCTAATTAGTCAACTTTGCAGTAAAGATCCCAAGTACATGCACCCACATTGCCCTTCTAAAGCACAGTTAAAAAACACACTCTTTTCTATTGTATTTAAAAAAACCAGCATCACCCCATAACATTCCATTTTGCAAAAGCAATGTGAAAGTGACTGTCCTGTATGAGACGCACATACATTTGCTTGATGTACTTGTCTGTTTATAATACAATAAGATGTTATACCTATTTTTGACTAAAACTCCAGAGAGATTCACAACAAACTAGTAGAAGGTCCCAGATGACTGTAAAAACAGATACCACCATTTTGTTTAGCTTTATGGAGAGATATCGTGAGAGTCATCAAAGAAACAAACCACAGATAGACTGCAAGAATTAGATGTTACTGTTACTACTTGCTGTCTCTCTCTTTGGACAGCTTTTGGAATGCAATACATGCTGTAAACTTAGTTACCAAAACAAGATGCAAGGTGGCATCTAATAGAGACATAGCCATTAGCCACTACAAATGCTACATATTTTGATGTGGGCAGTAGTAGCACACTCTTGGTCATGGAGAAAGCTCAGTTTTCCTCCCCTTCTTCTTGCCTAGTGTTCTTTTCCTTGTCCGTCTAAGCCCACTAACAGTGCTGGCAATGTCTAAGTTATCATTTCATGGTTGCAGTTTGCTGGAGAAGAGCTCTCTCACCTGCATCAGGGACATTTGGCTGTAATCTTCCCGCTGCTTAAGTTCCAGTGTGGAAACGGGTGGAGGATGTGCAAATGGTTTACTTCTCCCTACTCTGGTTAATTCTTGGAAACAGGCCTCCCTTCCTTCTTGGCACTTTCATTGGGATAATGCAGCTCCACATACCTCCTAACTTGAAAACTTTTTTATGTACTAGCCCTATGTGTTTTTATATGTATGGCAAATTCAAGAACCATGACAGACATCCACTACATATGACTGATTATACAAATATTTGTCACAATCTCCAAAGAAGTTTGTGCCACCTAGTGAAACAATAGCAAAGTGATGTGTAAAATGTGCTGAGCATTTTTACAAACAGTATGTGCACATTTATGTATTCTTCTTCCACATTGGTTGCTAGTCCACATCATGGCTTATCAATTTAGACTCTAAACTGTCTGAAGCAATGACAGAAAATATTCTAACAGATTTACACCCATGGCTCTGGTATTCCAGATATACACTGCTGTAGCAACAAAGTTGGTGGCCTAGTGTACTGTGAATCTGAATAAATAGGAAGTGATAATATGCAGTGCTTTACATATATGGATCATTTTTGTAGTTAAATAGTAATAGCCTCTTTACTAGGAGATGGCTTCAGCTTATACCAACTCTTTACATTGTTTTGCTCCTCCCTACATTTAAGGTGTGTAACAGTATCAGCTTCTAAGGAAAAAACTAAATAATCTAATGATTCCAAATGAACAGCTATGAATATCAGCATTGGGCTGGATTTTCAGAAGGGTTGAGCATCTGCACTTCTATTAGAACCACTGGGAGCAGCAACTACTCAGTACCTTTCAGAAGCCAGTAATTTGACAATTTAAGGTAAGGAACTACCTGATACTGCTAACATGCAGCCCAGCTTCATCTCTTTGAGAATCTAACTCAATGCATTAGACCTAGGCTCTTTAAGCTAAAGAAAAGTACACATTTCAAGCATTTTGTCCAAGCAAAAGTCAAATAGTCTAATGCTCTAAAATGTATTCTGAACCATGTGTCCATGTGAAGGCCTGGCAAAGTTAATCTTGTTCTCAAACCACTTTAGGCAGCATCATGCCAAAACTAGTAAAATTCTTGGGGTTTTTAAGAAAGATTTTTCCCATAGCTGCTTCTGCTTGGAGTCAATAGGAGGTGAAGCAAAGATTTCAATGTTTTGAGAGCATAACTTTAGAGCACAAAGTAACCTTCCAGCACACAGTAATATTCCACTACAATAAAGAATTATTCATTCATATTTTAGACTCTTCCCCATCCCGTGGCCATTATTTTGATAGGCTGCCAAAACTGGGCACCACAAATCTGAAATTTGCCTGGTGACTTTTGGCTGGTGGTTCAAACCTCTCTGGACAAATAACTGAACAAGTATGTTAATTTAACCAATCACCATGTGAAGACATCTTGTGTGACACACTGGCATCCATTATTCTTTGCTACTGGTGTGCAAGTACGTGTGTGAACAAGGCCACAACACCTTACGAGGGAACTATTAACTCAAGTAGTTGTTTCTTAATGCTATTCTTACAGGTGGATGTTAAATCTCAAGTATATACTGGCAGCCATGGGAAAAGTATCATTTCATCCTTGTTCCTTGTATCTTTTACTCTTTAGTCATTCACACAGTTCCTGGTGTTTTTCTTATTTTATATAACCCAAATCCAGAGCCCTTACT